CACCGAACTTGACGTTATAACCACTCGTGAAGCGCCCTCTTTAGGTAAAATGTCTAAATTTATTAAAAATAAAAAAAAAAATATTTAGTAACAAATTGGTTTGAATTTTTTGCACTTTCAGTTTATTTGTGGCGCTGTTTTGTTTGCTAATACAAACTATGCAAAGTGGGGTAGCCCATTTTTTGATGAAACAACTTCATAAGTGTTCTTCAGTTAAACTGTGAATGTGTGTTTCGAGTTATTTTGAGCATTTTGAGTCGTACGTGTCCCCATCTAGAATTCCGCTGAGCTGACGCGATATATAAAAAAAGAACTTGATCCAATCGTGACTTGTTTTTCGGTCATGTACAGCAGACATATTCTAAAATACAGTCTTAATGCCTAACTAGTTGAACATCTATAACATTTAATACTTTTATTATTATTATTGTTTTTTTTTTACTTTTATAACTGGAATGTTCTTAACAGTTTTCTCATAGTGGATTTTCGTTCTGCTAAATTTCACCAGCGCCTGCGCAGTTACGAACAAATGTATGAGGTTTACATTGCTCTAATATAAATTTTGCTTATGATATAATAATTGTTATCTTTACTGTCCAATACAGCCACGAATCAAGTCTTCTCGTTTGACCTCAAGAGAAAGGTGCCGTATGAATTCGTCGTTATCGTCAATATCATCGATTGAGGAAGGTGGCACAGGTAAGATGATGAATACAGTGTGTATTCCGACTGCAGTGATAATTACCTTGATTTCACCTACCTATCCATTGTTTACCTCGTGAATCAATGCAGTTTTTACGACAACAATGTTAGATGAATAATGTGCCGGATTTGCTCTGAATTTCAGATTTCTAATAACTGTACATAATGGTTTTATCTTGGCAAGTCTGAAAAGCAGGCACAACGTTCGACAGATTCTCTAATAAACATTTAGAAATTAACGGCTCCTGTGATGTAAAAAAGTTGATGGTCTAATTTCCCGGTCGACACATAGAATCATAGCGGGAATTGCTAGTTTATGTTAAATTAAATTAAGAGAGCGTGCTGTTACTGGATATGAAATTACATTGTCTACGTATTCTTGTCTCGCCCGATGATGAATAATCGTGCATCTTATAAACACACACAATTGTTTGTTACATTTTCAGACGTGATGAACAAAATATTCATGCATCTTGCTGACAACCTAACCAAGGAGGAATGGAAACCATTAGGTTACACACTGGGACTATCCACCAAGGACTTCAGCAACGTGACCATGAACCATCAAGAATTCTGGGAACAAAAGTATCAGATGTTTCTGCTTTGGCAACAGATCAAGGGCATGAAAGCAACGACAGACAGAATAGTAGAGGCGTTGAAAGAACGTAAAATGAGAAAACTTGCCGAGAGCGTTAAGAAGATAATAGGTAAAGAGTAACAGTAGCACGATATTATTATTCTAGTATGTTGTAAATATGATTTATATATTAAAGTGATTGTGTAATATATCATATAAGTGTGACAATGTCTCTAATATGTTTCAAAGTAAATATGACTGTGACTGTGTAGCTTTTTCCAAACAACCTTAAACATTAGTTAGTTCAGTGTTCTTCTAGTGACATAAGACACTTAAAAATCTGTATCTGTGCCATTTGGCTTTATTGAAATATTGAATGCACATTGCTTTCACGTTTGTTAGGAATTGGTATCACCATTTCGACATTAAATGACAAGACTGAGGCTGTATATTACGATGAACATGTAAATTAAGCTGCAGCATATAGCCAGATTTGCTCTAATATTTTCAATTCAATTTACATCATGTAAATAAATTATATTAATGCTTAATTTCATCATCCAGTACACCATCCTCATTTCGATCACTCTTCATCAGCCAAATCTGGCTAAAATGCGACCTTTACAATTTTCAGACGCTGACGATGTGGTTTCTCTGACTTACACAGATATTACCTTCTATGGCTCATCTAGGGACTCTTACAACTCCGATTCAATCTCCGACCTGTCATCCTGCAATGGGCGGATCACACCAAGTAGTCCCATAAGCCCATCACCACGTCCGTGGACAACCGGGGGCGGGTTTGTACCGATAGGATACAGACCGACAAGTCGTATCGGATCAGCTGGTGCACAGACGGATTGTCTTCCCCCTATCTGCGGGAAGTTGAAACCTCTCCAGCCTGCCCCGCGTAGAAAAAGTCGACATGGATCAGGAACGATGTCGAACGCCGATAAATTATACAGATGAAAAAAAAAAAACAAGTTCATGAAGAGTATAACGTGACATTTGCCTCTGTGTACAATTGTTATTTTGGATTATAAACAATCACATCCGTGTTTATATGAAGTATTCAAAAATATTAATATTACTCAATTTCTTGAATTAGATTCAAGCGCCCTCAAACAGAATAAGACACGACCGAAATATGTGAGTTATATTGGCAGTATCCAACATTGAATTATCATTATATGAGGATTAATTGGAATACATTAGTCAAAAATAGCGAATCCAATTTATCAAAACTGATTAGTTCTGGATACCGTCTTGTACGTAGCGTGATTTGTTTTTAACTAATATACTCTCTGTTCGATAGATTTTGGCTAGCCGAGGTGTCTGACACATTATTGAATTAATTGACGTTAAAAGTTATTGTTTTTTTGTTATATTTACATATTTATCCAGTAAATAAATGTATCCATACAACTCATTAACATTTACTGAACTAAACTCTGCTTAATCGGATGGAGATTTATTTTCATGGTAAAATATTGCTTTCAAATAATACACCGTGTATACTGGCATTGAAATGTTACTACAGTATTAAACATGTGACGCGTGTCTAAATGACACAATACATATTATAGTTGCTGTTGAATAAAAAATATTAATAAAGTATTTATTGATATATGTGTAAACAAAATGAGTATACTGTATTATCGCAATCCTATTAATTCATCACATGGATCCTCTTTGGTATATCTGATTGCTGTGAAAATGTATGCGTTTTGAATACAAGTTTTCTTAATGTTGTTGTCAGTTGTCACAATAAAAGCAACACTCCATAGATCTCCATCGGGATTAGCCGACCAACACAAATATACACCTGGCATGTTGCAAGAGCGCAGTATCGATTTCTTTTTTACCAGCCAGGTGTTATTTTTATTGGGTTAAATTTCAACAAAATTACAGTCACCCTGGTAATAGCCGCTTCACATAGGTCGGTCTTTTTTAAATGTCAGATTATATCAGTTAGTCTATGTACAAACACACGTAGTCACATTCCAAAAGATATTATAGCCTGTCGCTAGTTACGTTACATACATTAGTTGTTTGTCTCCGCTCTGGCCGAGGGACTGACAACGACCGTGGGTGGAATTTGGAGACACGTTCCATACAGACAGAGAGAGGAACATCCAGTTAGATTTGAGCTGTTGTGTGGGAACATATTCAAATGATGTTTCATTCTAAAGTATTGGTATTTGAAAATAAAAAGCACGTCAAAATCGTAGTAGTTGGTGACCATTTTGTTTCTGGTAAATAAACCTCACAAAATAAACAATAGTTGTTGTACGAACTACCCCCCACTGAGTATAACTTGCATATTGTCACTGTAAAACTGTAGTTACGTCACAGATTGTGTACAATCTATTGTTACAAGCTTTTTATTAATTACTCACCCAAATTGACATTGTCTGATCTGAATATCTTGCATTTCACATGATTACATGATTACAACAAACGTCAAGTCCAACTTTATTTCAAAATACATATATAGACCAGTAACACAATACCCAAATATACAACTATATAAGTAGTCAGAAAATATGGTTTACAAAATGGAATTGTGGATGAATTTTTCAGGCTTGTATCCATAACTACCAGAAAGATAGTACGTGAAATATCTGACTCACAATTGTCATTGCAAACATTAGTAATAAAATATTATCCTTATTTCATAAGATAAAGTAGATATTATTGTATACAAGAATTCAAAATTATTGAGTTGAATAATATGTGTAATTTGAATATTCATCATTTAAAGTTTTTATCTAACTCCAGGTTGAAAATGCCACCCTTCATATAAAAAACCCAGGCGCAATAAAATGTACAATATTAACAAGTTTGTGTTTATATTTCTTAAAGAATGTGTTTCAAAGTGAAAATTATAAGGTTTTGGTATGTTTCCAAGGTAACAATGCCATTTATGACGTTGTGAATACATAATACAAATATTCCTATTATCCAGGTGTATCTGTAAAACTGTATATAATAAATATCCAGAACAAAAATAAAACAGTAGCACATGGGAAATATCTTTTATTTGTTTGTTTGTCAAAGGGTCAAGTATGTGGTTAAATTTCTCATATAAATTTATTTATGCTACATTTTGGACTGGGGATATGTAATTCAACATTGACTTAACAAGGCACAGATACTAATTTGAAAATGCAAGTTTCTTGCGTGATAAGTCATTATTTAAAATCCAAATAGTCATTCGTGCAAAGTACATTATAAATTTGATTTTCAAGACGTTCTTGGTGAACGTTCTCATGAACTGTACCCATTGTTTGTCGCATACAGGGGTAAGTAATGTCTTGCATATTGGGAATACACACTTAAGTATGATGATTACATTGTTCGAACGTGTCGACTCAGGCAACATGCACACATATTGTGTAACATCTATGTGAATATCTTCTCTAGGTTAAATAACAATAATTACTGTAGCAGTAATATCACGTCCATCCTAATATAGTAGAAGACAATGAGTATACATTTGGTACCTATGAAGAAGACAGAGAACCACTGAAATGTACAAGTCAAAGTAACACTAGTAAAGAGTAGATAAATGATTTTCATAAAAATTAGATTTACACAAAGATATTTCTGTTTTATTGTTCGTTTATTCTTGGAATTGTGAATATTAAACAGATACATGTTTTAGTTATTACTCGTTTTGGGTCAAATGGTGTAATTATATGACATTACACACTCTTTATCACATGACAATCGATGTGTAATCGACTTTATCATCTGTCACGTTTTCAGTTGTATGGTCAGCTTCGCCTGTAATTCAATGAAATTATTTTGTTAATGCTCAACAATAACTGTGTTTTATATCATTTGAACTGATGTTGCTGATCAAACAACACGACGTATAGTATGAAAATAAACACATACGTGTGAGCATGCTCTTTACATTTTCCGCCATGTTTCTGAGTCCTAATGAATCAAGCACTCTGAGAATGGTACCAGTTGAGGCGTCTGATCCTTGTACTTCCTGCCATCTACGCAACATGCCGTACTTTCTGTCCCAAACACTTTTTATATTTGCAGAAATGTTGTCAATATCAGCGTCTGTCAAGCCAAGCGTGAGTCCGAAACGCTGCCAAGTGTCAACTGGTAAATTAGTTGCAATATGTAGTATAACATCTTGTCTAACTGTAATAATTAATAAAGTAAATATATTATTATATATTGGGCTAGAAATATATTATAAAGATTCTGATAAATGCCAACACAACTTTACGATAGTCTGCTACTACATATAAACATATGAGATTCACTTGAAATTTATACCTTCAGATGAATTGTAAGCTGTGTGAACACCCGACTGCCGTGACATTAATGCTTCTCTTGTCACACTTTTTCGGAACTGGTTTAAAATAAATCAGCATTGCGAGCAGATCAAACATCAATAATAATAATAATTATATGGAATTTTGGAATAAAATATTCTTGGCAATAACAGAACAAAGAAATGTATTAATATTATAAAAATTATTTAATTATCGATTGTTTAAGTCTACCTTTGGTATGGTGAATCTTATTTCAAATAGTTGTCGACCTGCAACTTCCTTGAATCTTGATACTCCTGTCTTTGGCTTGACACACGAGTTAAATGACATGCGACCAACAGCTTCAGGACCTCGTGGTCTATTTGTCACGCGAACCTGGTCTATTACATGGTTTTTGGCGTTTGAGCGGAAATACATCATGCGTCGATCATTTCCATTCTCCCATTCTATGCAGTCACTTTTCACAATAAGAAAAATCTTATCGCCATCTTGTATCTCTATATCTCTACTGTAAGCGAGTTGACCTTTGGCCTCGCTGAATGAGACACCGGATATAGAATCCTTATTTAATAAAAAGGAGATAGTGGTTATGTCAAAAAATGACTCGAGCTATTGAGAGCGGAACAACCATGGCACTTGTTTTTCCTTTGTTCCTTTCTCTCCAATTATGCGTCTACTGATCAAAGTCCTGTGGTTACATATTTCAGGAAAGGAGGATGGGAGAGAATAAAACAATATTTGTGAGGCGAAAACAAGTAAACGATCTTTAACCTAAGAACTCCAGTTTCCATTTTGAGTTGTTTGTACTAGAAAGTGTGAGATATTTGCGTATGTCTTAAGTATTATTTATTCAGTGTTATTCAAGGCCTGTTGTATCCCTTTGAAGTGTAGCAAAACCTAACACCATGAAATCTTTTAATTACCTTGCCCTTTAATTCATCTAGTCGTGTTTTCAATAGCCCAGAATCAACACAGTCAATACAAAGACTACATGGATCTTCCACATTTTGCAGTAGCACAAAATTGACCATTTTAACCCTATTAGTCAATCTCTTGCTGATCATCTGCATAGCTTGTTTGGATAGTCGTGGTTTACATCGTAAAGACGCGTGCCTTTAACAAATGAAGACAACAATATCATAATTAGTGTATATTTAGGCAGTATTAGAATCAGATAACTCGAAATATTGAACCATACTTTTGAGACAGTGGAAACAGGGAAAACGAGTCAAAAGTTGCTCTGGGATTCAAACTATTCATCGTCTGAAAGCTTAAATGTAGGCAAATACTATAGTATTTTTGCCATACAAATCTTTCTCTAGTGGATTACCTGACTATAAGTTTCTTGGAATCAAAAAAATCTAACTGTGGTTTAATGCTTTGCGAAATTTCTTGGTTCACTCATTCTGGAGTGTATTAAATAGTCAGTATAGTTACAAACGACCATACCTGTCGGATTATCTCTTAGACAAACACTGCACTACCTATATTTAAGCTTGCAGATGATGTATAGGTTGTTATAGTAGCATGCTTAGTAACATTTAGAGAATGTCTGAATTACATATAAATGTTTTACTCGCTGTTTCCCTTGGCCTACCTTAATACACGCAAGTATTTATTTATTTACCTACCGTGAAAAATGTTTAAGATCAATACATATGTTCTCCTTCACACTCTTCGACCAATTAGTCACATTTTTCCAGAGGTCGTCATTGCTGTCTGTTAGTACTGTGAGACTTACGTCATTCATGTTAATACAGGGTGGGGCCGTCGGCATGTTCAGACGAACTGATTTCTTAAACGCTTTATTGGAGTCATCGGAAACTGAGACAATTTTCTCAATAGATATTGGTGTGTCGAACTCCTTGATCACTTGGCTAACTAGGCTCTCCTCAACGCAAACAACCTAGAAGCCGTTCAAGTTGTAATTATTATAATGACATGATGCTAATCAGCAAACTTTTATTTTTGTGTTGTATCATCAGATAAATACATTACTCATAACAGCAGCATTATTGGTTGAACACAATTTTCAAACTGAACATTTACTGGTTTAAAATACCAGTGAAACTATTTCGGAATCTAGATATTTTGGTTTATTTTGCCATTTAAAATTTACTAGTAATTCAGTGAAACGCGTAATAAAACGTACGGATGCCGCAGCATATAGCAGTATGCGCCAAATTAATGCACAATTACAAATAACTCACCTGTAGCTTTAAGTTTCTGGTACAATCGGTACTAGATGCAGGTACATCAATGTATATATTGTCGTCAACCGAAGAGGTACACACTTTGGCTAATTCAGTAATGGTAAACTGGTCTACAACGGGTCTTGAAATTGCAGCATAGTATTGGAACTTCTTAATATACGTTTTGTATTTCTGCGCAACCTTCAAGTGAATTAAATTGGTTACATTTATAGTAGTTATTTGAATGTAATTTTCAGACATTAATACAATCTCTACATTCGCTGATGTGTTGTATTATTAAGTTTTAACGATTACAAATAATATTGACTCAACTTACCTTTATCGTTTCCAGTATTTCCCAGTCACTAAAACCATTTGGGCTGCATTTTATAACGGCCTCATCGTATTTTGATTGATCGCGAAAGTTGTACGTTAATACCAGTGGCACAACAAGGCAGAAGTCAGCTGGAGTGATTTTTATAACGTTACTGAGCAACTGTTCGTAGATGCCAAGGCTGACCGAATACTCCATTATATCGACTGGAGACCCAGTGATATCTATAGCGTCGGAGTTTTGAAAGGCGTTTGGGAATTCTAGTGAAAAGTCTGAAGGCAGAAGAATTTCGTGTGCTGGCTAGTGAGAAAAAGATACAGCATTAATTACAATTGATGGCTTATGGGATGAATATGTCTGTTAATGTATATATGAAAAAGTGTACAAATAAACAATAAATATAAAGCAAATTATTGTATTAGACAATATAATAATGCAAATACAAGTGCAAGAGACCTTAAATTGATTCAACGGAATGAACGTTTTCTGAGGAATGTCCTCTTCTAGGCCATGTGTAACATCTACTCGCCCTGTTCAAATAGTGAATACATAATTATGAATCAATAATTCGTTTACTTACGACACGATCAACTATATTGAGACTTTGATTATAGTCATGTGATCAATATCTATTATATGAAAACAATACAATATTTAAAATTCAACAGTTTACATTTCTCTTATGCAATTTAAATTGTGGCGTTGTAATAAATATTAATGTGCTTTCCGAACTTTTACCTATCTTCGAAGCATTTCCTATCTTGTTTGCTTAATTTGAATGTGATATATTCCTCATAGAAATTCATAAAAGTGAAAAAATATTACATACATAGTTAAATTACTAAGAATTAAAATTATGTTGTAGCTGTCACAGCATGTAAGAATGCAAATATATATCTCATTATTGTTTTTTATGGCAACAAGTTTGGAACCATATTGAATTCGCAAGTAAGCCGTTTATCATACTATCATATTGTGCCCAGAATATCAAAGTAAACTCAATTGCTACAATCAATGTTCGTAATTTGGGTTAATTGTCTTGTAATCTCCTAATCACTATTCGAATACAACATCAAACAATTTTGGGAATAAAAAATAGACTCGGCAAATGTATTCCTCGTGCGAGGAAGGTCACATTATTGATTTGTGTTCAGTATTTAGTTGAATGAGGAAGTAGCTAGGAACTTTAAACTGGGAATGCGCAAAACACAACACGTCGAAATGTCAAAGGTCAAAGTCACAGTGTGTGCTTGTATATTCTTACTATTTAATATACCTCCATGATGGAAATAGCCAGTGTCATTAAAATTGTCATACATATTCCATACTACAAGACCATACTACATTTTGAGGTCAAAAATTACAGTGTGAGTTTATGTGTGTTCATATAACTACGAGAGAAATTAGTTAGACATGGCAGACATGTTCCGCATGTGATTCACAACTGGGTGTATTTTTCGAGACAAATGGTCAAATGTCGTGATTACATTGTGTGTTTATGTATGCTCAGTATTGGCCACTGAGGTGATAGCTAGAAACTTCAAACTTGGCACACATGTTTCCTATGTAAGCCATGTCACATTAAACATGTTTATGTATGTTTATGTATAACATAACTACCAGCAATCCCCACTGTCTTGGAGGTATTCTCGTAACCTTATTATTATACATCTTTTCCTTCCAATGATACATCATGGGAATGCCGAAATCCAAAAAGTTTAGAACAGTCCGGTCAAACGCTGATGGCAACCATGTTTGCTGTTATTATTATAGGACGCTTACGTGCGTAATCATTCCATATTTCGAATTCGCATTTCCCTATATGATAGGACAAAAATACCCCCTAAAATACCGCACAATTACGGCACGCTGTAACTTATGGCGTTACGGTGACAGATGTATAATACTATATATGTGTATAAAAACTTGTTGATCTTGAGTTATGAGTGTTGATATGAATATTGAAAATACATGGCGCAGGTTGGAATCACCTCAGAGTTGTGTTAACTAGTTATATGATGTCTTACGTGTGTCGATAGATGAACAATGCAATGTTTCTCACCCTCTGAATAAGACTCGTCCACTTGAGACTGTGACGGTGGAACACCCTGTCAATATAAAATTATTGTATTAGTTTTATTATGTAACATACACGTGTTATACTAAATTGTCTTGACACAAAAAACTCACAAAACACGTACATTACCTTTTGCACATTGAATGAGAGTGAGTCAATTTTTTTAAATGCTACATCGTTTTCCATTTCTTTTGTTATGGCATAAGCCGGGGGTGGCGTATCTTTTGTGTACCTAAAGAACGTGACTGTTCCTGAATATATCTTTGGCACTGTTGTATCGCCGATGTCATCTTTCTGGAGAAGTTCCATATTAATGATTTGACTAGCACCCTTCTCAATGAATCGTGGCACTTCACAGCCTCCTCGTTTGTTTGTACTTGTAACGCAAAGTTTCCCTCTATGCAATAGTATATCTTCTCATGCCAAGAGATAGGAAATCCTTTTGTGTATGGCAGTCGTCCCGCTGGTTTAACATCATACCCAAATGTATGCAGCTCTCCTTTCAAATACGTAGAAACGGTCAAAGAATCGTGGCAGTCAATGCACAGTTGACAAGGGTTTATTAGATGCTGTGCGACAACAATGACTACCCGAGACTCGCTCATTGTGCCTAGGGTTAATAATTACACGGTTTTGATATTGTAGCCATATTGTAAAATCGTCTGTACTTTTATATTAATCAAATTATATACAATAATATTTCAGTAGTCATCAAGTTTTTTTCCTATTTATAAAACACTGTGCTGTCATAGAAAATGACTACTGCTGTAAATTGCTATGTGCACTGGAGAGAGAATTATCAAACGGGCCGCCAACTTTACCTCCCCGCGATCGCACTGAATTCTTGCAACAACCCGCATGACTATGTTTAAGTGTGATACACACAGCCGACCACGTGACCAAGTAGCAAAACACCGTTGCTTTGATACTGTAATTAATGTGCCACACATAAGGAATGCACGGTTAATTTCAAAGGATAGCTTACCTGTACACCGGGACGTTACCTGTATTCTCCTCTAGCTATATATGTCTGACGATGTGTTCGGAAATGTGTTTTGTCACCACGCATACGTAATATCGATTGTATGATTTATATCAATAGACTTTGACATCAGGTGCCTTAAATGTCTTTGATGTGTCGTATAAAGTTATTAAACAGTATGGGTTAGTGCTTGTTAAATAAATACATTGACTTATCTCGAGTGTATGTTCCTCATATACTGATTTGTCAAACCTGCACGCCGTACAATAAACAGAACCCTTGCTTGTTCAGCACTGGAGTACTCCTTCGTTGTGGATTTGTCTTCTTTCGTTCTTTTAGTTTATTTTAGTACAGTTTCTATGGTAAATCATTTTGCTAAAACTTTTTGCAACTATGTGCAATATTACACCAGTTTTTTTTTCAACCCTGAGTTTTTATTAGGAGCCATCCCGAAAAATGTTTCGGCTAGGTGCCCTCTTCTGTAATATTAACAATTTATCGATATTTACGAAAAGCCTCATAAAACAGAACTGTAGCAAGGTAATATAATTGTAACAATTATAGAAATTGGAAAACAACAGACGAGTGACGCCCATGGATGTCATTCTTCCTGGAGTCGGAGGGCTCATTAGCGAGTTGTTCAAATTCGACAGAAGACTTTATGCATTACCGCTTGTGGCACTTTGAAAATCCCGTGACCTTCATGCATGTCAAAAAAAAAAAAAAACAATTTCAAATTACTTATCTTAGTTCGAAAACAGACATGAAAAACCTTGTGTACAGCATCGGTTGTTCCTAATTTAAGAAATTATAATACGACAATCAAAATACGTTCAGAAAGTTCATGGAAATTATTAAACCTCTCCGCATCGTGGCGCTATTCGCCTTTCCACTCTGTTTGGTTTTAAGTCAACGCCTGCAATCCTGTATAAAACACCACGAGATTTTTGCAACCCCGTCAAGTTTTGAATAAATGGTCAGCATTAAAACACATTACTATTACTAGTATATAATGAATGATAACTGTTATTATTATTTTCAGAACCCTCATGTTGATTTACCAGTTCGAAGGGGAGGTGTTTCACAAATAAGTTTGGTACTAAAACTTCGGAACAAGGCGTTGAACAACTTCTAAATGTGTATTCAGTGTCATGAAAATGTCACTTATTTGTTGCCACTGGTCACTGTCGGCAGGTCGATTCAGGGTTACAGCTTGCGAGTTACAATGCAATGGTTTCTCATTTTTGAGACTGACATTATGACGAGAAAATTATGCAAATAGTTTAATCGAAATATACGAGGTGGTGCCTACAAATTACATTACTCATTTTGTCACTGCCTCAAACGTTACTAAAAGCTGATATACATGTATGATTCAAAAATGGCATGAGATAACATACAGTATAAATTGCCGACAAAACTTTAACGACAGCAAAAAATAAGACACTTTTCCTATTTTGGTTATAGTTAGCCATATTCAATTGAATGTACCATGGCAAACCAGCGAATGCGTGTTTAATATGTGTTTGTGTAGAAGGTGTCCAGTTTTAAATGTTCTAATCAAGTTTACAATATTGAAGTTTGATATTCACTTCTGAGTTGGGGCACGATTTACACAATTTTGGAAATCCTTATTGGGATATTCATTGAACAGAGTTGCAATAATCTGTCGTTTTGGTGTCGTTGTTTTATAATTAAAAAAATTATATTCTATTGCAATGTTACTAATTTTGTGGCCGTTGAGGCTCAGAAATTCAATGCTAAATTAGAACCTATAATCCTTTCAACTCTGTTCTGTTTTTCACTGCGGTATTCGAAAACACTATGCTCTTGACAACTTTTACCAACAATTTCCATAAATTATACCTTGCCGTTTATCAAATTAGAATAATTCGGTCACTCTGGATAAACATATTTCTGGGCACGGATATTTCGGGATACTTCCGTTACACAATGACGTCACCACAATGTATCTAGTTTCATATCTAGCGTCTAATATTTCAGAGAATAAAAAATCGACAAAGTGTCAAGCAAAGTCAGAATATTGGCCGAGAATATATTAGTAAAGTCATTACAGGGATGCAGTACAAATCAAAACCCTTTAATTACATGTATTAAACAAAATCGTCAATAATGCCTGGAAATTGTGAAAAATTTCGTGGATAGAGAAAAAGGTTACAAGTCGGGAATGCTGTCAATAAAGATGCATGGAAAGTCGGAAACGTGGCACTGAAAGTCAAAAAAGTGGAAATAAACGTTGAATAGAAAGTCGTCAAGTATTTCTGTAAAATGTGAACATTTTTTAAAATATCGAAAGGTTTCATGAAAAGGTGAAAAAATAATGAGAGAACATCAAAAAATGATACATGTAAAGAAAGCTGGAAATTCTGAAAAGTAAGATGGCTAGTTAGTAAAATGGGCCGGTAAGTCAGTGAAGTGATCACGAAAGTCGGTAATGCAAGATGTAAAGTCGGTAAAGCAAAATGTAAAGTCGGTAAAGCAAGATGTAAAGTCGGTAAAGCACGATGTAAAGTCGGTAATGCAAGATGTAAAGTCGGTAATGCAAGATGTAAAGTCGGTAATGCAAGATGT